TTCAGCTGTGGTGCATTTGTTGGTTTTTCAAATATGTCTCGATTATCAGCCATAAGACTCGATTTTAGCTCATAGTACCTCTAACTATTGAGATGAGTTACCATTATAACAAAATAATCATTCTAGCTCAGTGAATTGAGCTTAAAATCAAGGGTAAAGCAATTTCCCACACCAAGCCACTTTTTAAGCAGTATGACAGTTCTCTACATTACCTTCTCCTTGAAGAGTTTATTAAACATTATGCAAACTAACAATGAATTTCTATTATTTGCTGTATTTGGTCTGTTAGACTTAGTTTTATTTTTCCCAAAGAAAATATGTATAGATACTGTCAGAATACAAGAATTGTCCTGATGACTTTTCCTGTGGTATCCCAAGAAGTCGAATTGGCCCTCCCAGTTCTTCACTTGGATTACATGCCTCCCACCTCCCCAATTTTCAAGAATTAGGAGAGGAAGAGCTGTTCTGTATTTTACCAAAGGACAGATGAGCAAGGCAAATACCATTCCTTCCAGATACCATTTCAGTCCAGAAAAGGCACTTATGAATTGTTGGCCCACAATAGGAAGTTAGGAGCTGTGTGCATTTCTGCCAGGATCAACAGATCATTTTCTGTACCTAAAGGGTTACATACTGGGGAGATAATGCATGTGTTGTAGAGATGTTTAGTTACAGTCCTGGGCTATCACTGTTCACTCTAAGGCTGCGTGCACACTGGGCATTTTAATAACTCTGGTAACATTAGCTGTGTAAAGTCATAGTAAAAACGTGAATTTTTCAGTGGGTTTTTGCATTAGCATTTTGCCGTGTGTTTTTTTTTTTGCGTCTTTTTTAGCTTTTTTTTTTTTTTTTAAATGCCAGATTGCTGCATTTTACTGCATTTTGCCGCCTTTTTCAGCATTAGAGCATTTTTACAGCTAAAAAAACCTCTCTAGAAACCCTCTAGTCCTGGGGGGGTTTTTTCTGCCAAAAAACGCTGATTACAGTGCATGGACACAGGATAACATGCTGGGGTGTTTACTGGCTGTAGAAAAAAATGTCAAATGCCAAAAACAGCAACTGTAAAAACATCCAGTGTGCATGAGGGCTAATAACAGCAGTTTTAAACACAGTTGTATAGATGAAAGCTAAAAGTAAACATTGGGCAACAATTTCTTTACAATATCCAAAAGTTCCCACATAAGGTCGTCTTTTGGGCTGAAATGTATAATCTACTCCTTCCTTCTGTGATGCTGCAGATAACATAGTGAAGCCCACAGGGTAGAAATGTCACAATGTATACACACTCTGGACATGCAGAATGTAATGTAAGGTTTGTAAAACCCTCATCTGATGACATCATTTGCTTTAACATGAACCAGTGGTCAGACTATGGGCATTGAGATATTTCCATATTCGTAAAGTGGAACTGTACAGGGGGTGGGTCGGGGACAGAAGGTGCAGGAGCTGGAATATGTTACATGTTCCTAAAAGTGAACTTCTTTAACAAAACTAAAAAAAATTATTTTTCTCATATGATCAGTGTTCATTTAAAAAGAAAAAAGCGGTGTTACCTTAGATAAAACGTTTTTATTTTATAATTTGTCCTGTTTTAAATTACCATAAAAATGAGGATTCTGGTACTATGCATTGTAAAAATATTTACAAATGATTTTTTTTTTTTCAATTTTGTGATATATCCTTTAAAAGAATGAATGAAAAAAGAAATGAAACAAAATTTAAGCAAAGACTGTTTAAGGCTTTGTTCACACCATACGTGCTGAAAAACTGATGGAAAAAATGCACATATTTTGCTTGCAGAGATATCTGTTTTCATACGCCTTTCTGCAAGTCTTTATACATGTTACAAATCCCTGCGCAGAAAAAAATCTGCATGTGACACTAGTATTATGGTGTGAACAAGGCACATAGAGAACAATTGTTTTCTTTGTGCCCTTGCAGAAAGTGTAGAGTAAAACTGACTGCTCTGCACTTGGTTGAATGGGGCCTTAGTGGTAATGGTTAGAAATAGACAAAAATCAGCAGGAAAAGGAAGAAGCCATCAGTTAAACAGTTACATTTCTGGTATGCCAGGAATGGTAACTGACACATTTGCTGGTGTTGTCAACCAACCTGTCAAATCTTCAAATGGGTGGTGCCATAGCTGATCACATGTGCAGCTCTCTGGCAGTTGCAAATCAAACAGGCTAAGATGGCAGCTTGCTTGGCTGAAGGGGTTAGTTCTGCTTTAATTACGGCTGATTAGAGGTAAACTAATGGTTATTGATGGGGTTAAATCGACTTGAATAAAAAAAAGCTCGTCAGATTGCTTTAACTGGCATATGTGCAGATCCCTTGCATCTGGCAAAAAATGCAACATAGTGGATATAATAGGAATGATTCTTTCTCGGCTCTGAACAATGTTGATGAACATTGTCACACAGTCTGTTTTTTTTTTTTTTTTTTTGACAGCAGCAGCTTCTATAGCTGCTGTATTTCCATTATAACTTTTCATTCTAAGAGTCAGGAGTCACATTTGGGTGTGAGGGGTAGCATCAGCAGCCAGGACGACGTACTACACACACCCTGTGTACATCAGTGAAGTTTTTCTTGGGGGTGTATGTAGCATACTCAATGTCCTCAATTGGTAGCTGATAGTTGTGTCAACTATCCTCCAACGCATACTCGTAAAATATGGTTTAATGGGGGGGGGGAATTCAAGTGAGATTGCTGATCACCTACATGTCATTGCTGAATTGTATCCTAAACTGCAAACTTCTTTAGAAAAATGCATTCTTAAAGTGACACTAACTATCCTTATTCTCCAAAAATATTCTGTGCACGCTTATTACTTAAAGCAGTAGTAAAGTCTCTTATACAATGTAAGATAACAGGCCCCCTGCAGGTATGCATCATAATGTACTATTAGGCACCTCATACTAGTATATTATGACAGACTTGCCTACAAACTGAGCCCTCCAGCGCTGTGTCACAACTCCCCAGTGCTTCCATCTTCATCTGGTCTTATTATCACTGTCCCGGCCCTTGCAGCCCTTTTTGATCTGTGCAAGGAGCTGAGTTTCCACCTCCTCATTAATACTGGGAGGCCTATAACAAGCTCCAATGATTATCTTTGTAGTATGCACCCCCATGTGCACCACCACCTTTCCTTTTTAACCTGTCTTTCTGAAAGAGAACATAGCCAGGAATATTAATGGCCCAGTCATGTGAAGAATGAAGCTAAAATTCTCGAATACCAATTAAATCATAGTTCTCTTCATGCAGCAAAGCTTCCAACTCACCTATTTTTCTTGGCAGACTTCTGGCATTGGTGTACAAACATTCATTGACACCTTGTTCACATGTATTTTGCATATTTTTTATTTTCATACAAATGGTACCAATTCCAGTGGTTGTTTGTAACGTGAGAACTTTCTTATCGGCCATAGCCCTCCCCCATCTTTCCCCATTCCACCCAACAATAAGGACTGACCCGTCTGATCTGTCTACCCCATTATAATCTAATTTTCCCTCCCCCCTTGATCCTAGTTTAAATACTCCTCCAGCCCTCCCTGTAAACCTCTCCCCCAGCACAGCAGACCCCCTTCCTTTTAGGTGCAAAACATCTCTAGCATATAGGTTGCACCCCAATGAAAAGTCAGCCCAGTGCTCTAGAAACCCAAATCCTTCCCTCTTACACCAGGTCTATAACCATGCATTCAGTTCTCTAATCTCCCTGTCTTTCCTGTGTTTCGCATGGCACAGGTAATATTTCAGAGAATATCACCTTGGAGGTCATTCCCTTCAACTTGCAGCCTAGTTCTTTAAATTGATTCTTAAGGAGCCTCCACCTTCCATGTATTCTGCCATTGGTTCCAACATGGACCAAGACAGCTGGGCCATGCCCAGCCCCTCCCAGTAATTTATCAACCCGGTCCACCACATGCCGAACCCTGGCACCAGGGAGACGGCAAACCATTCGGTTGAGGCGATCCTGGCGATAAATTATTCTATTAGTCTTGATTATAGAATCCCCTATTACCACCAACTGTCTAGGCCTTCCTGCACTACCCTCACCATCCCTCCCAGATGGTCTGCCCTCCTGGCTGTTAGGGATAGCAGTGACATCCAGGGCTGCCACCCCTGAGCTTGCCACCCCCACATCCTCACCCAACTTGGCAAATCTGTTTGGGTGCACAAACCCAGGGCCGGCCTTCCCTTTCTGTGAGCCCCTACCACTCCCTCTCGTTACAGTAACCTATCTTCCTACCTGATAATCCTGATTAGCCCCCCCCCACATCAATCCCATTAGCTACCTGCTCAGGGAGCAGAAGACCCCTTTCAAGGTTGTCGGTTCCCAGTGTTGCAACTTGCTCCTCTAGATCTCTAACACAAGCTTGGTTGTTTCAGGAAAGAAAATTGCACTGTCTATGGACAGCTTTAGTAAATAAATAAGGTATATTATATTTGTCTTTTTTTTTTTTTTTTTTGTGCATTCAGTTGGTTTCTGGACTAGGCCATACATACATCCCAGAAGTTTTCATGGGAATTTTGTTTTCTTTCATATGGAGAAGAGGAGATTTCTCATCTTAGCACAACCTCCTGCCTGCATACCTGAGATAGGGGCGTATAGATTCCAGGAAATAAATGCTAATTGAATTATCTGCCATTACTGAAGATGGTCATGGCTAGAAATGCTAGGGGGTGTTGTTCAAAGTGATTTCTCCTTAAATTAAAGAATGAAGCCATGGATGGTTGAAAGAATTCACTTTGAGTAATAAAAATGAATGAAATAGCTTTTTCAGTTTGTGGTGCTCAGATTCAGTTTAGGTCTGCGTTAAATAAGTTTTTGGGCTAGGTCAGATATTGTGTTTAGGCCCATTGAGAGGGCTGATGGAGCTATTGCAGACACCTCCACTGCTGGTATATGCCATTGTGATCAGGCAAAATATTACAACCTGTCTGCTTGTTTTGTTGTATGTATATAATATGTATATTGTACAATATGGTAATGCCACCTACTTTTTTCACAGGATGTTACCAAGTTGACGCCCCTCTCACCAGAAATCATCAGCAGACAAGCAACAATCAACATAGGTAATATATACGTTTTTGTACCAGATATGTTCATCTTAATTTATGCCACCGTTTCTCCATTATAGCCACTGTTCCGCACTTTCCCTGGTGTTAGTCACCTCATCTAGTTCATCTTCTTAAAGTGACACCAACCTATATCCTTATTCTCCAAATATAATCTTTACACATCCACTACGTAATGGCTCTGTAATCTATTTTTAATGAAATTGTTTCTTACTGTGGGTTTCTGCCTGCTCCTGCGGTCATGTGCACTGTCCTTTGCACACAAAACATCCCATAGTCCCTGGTCCATGTTTGGAACAAGCAAGAGGGTGGCTACATTCTTACTTACAAGGTGACTACATCCACTCTCTCCCACTGTAACAGGTAGTCAGATCACAGCAGCAAACAAACTAGGAATTTGGAAGTTTGGAGTAGGTTGAAAGCAATAGAAGGTACTTCTGTTGTTAAGAATCCATACTTGAATAGAATTTGCTTTGTTTAAACCAGAGTTTAGTATTTAAGGCCTTTTCCACACAGGCATTTACTTGCATACACCAGATTCCAGCGTCAAGAATCAGGATATTTTTGTTGTTGGAATGACTGGTGTATGCAAACAGTGGTGGTTGCTCAACTTGTATGTATCCACAAACTTAACAGTTACATGCGGTTAGAGACTGATGGAATGACCCTATATGCAGAGAGATACATCCAGGCTTGAAGATCTGTCTATTCCTAACCACCTGGTGTTCAGATACATGCAAACAGTGATGGCTCCTCTCAGCCTGTCATTACTTCGTACAGGTTTAGTGACTTCTATTGTTCACATACATCTGTTTCAGCTGCAAACATCTACTGCTTCTTCTCACTTGAATCCTATGTAAGCAGTTAAACATCTCTGTAAGCCTGCTGGTGCTTTTATTTGTATCCATCAGCTATTCATTCAAAATATTTTCCATACCTTCCATTATGTTTTTAAGCAATGAAAACATTTACAGATATTAGTTTTGTTTAGGTCTAGTTTACACTTGTAGCTGGGGGGGAAATGACAACCCAAAACTGGCTGGAGAGGGTTGTGCACATTGCCACAGCCGTGGCCAAAAATATACCCCATTCAGTAGACTGCTGCTGGTAAATGTTGATCTGTTCAAGTGAATGGGGCCGCACCTCAACTGTGTGCTATGCATGTGGTTGTGGTACAGGGATTTGGGTTTACAGGGTAAAACAGGAAGTGAGGAGACGGCATGTCACCCCGCCAGCCTCCTGTTGAATGCAAGGGCTGCTACAAGTGTAAACAAACTATTACAGTTTATTTGCTACTACTTTAAGCAGTTATCAATTAGAAATAAAAGAAACAGAAGTCTGAATCGTTTGTCTATGCTTACCCAAAGTGAATGGGTTTTGCAACAGAAAGGACAATAATATTAGGTACTGTTATTCTCAAGGTACAACTTCAACCAAAACTTTAAGTTGTAACCAAAACAGGAAGTGGCAACATTCTCTACAGTAGTCATTAACCACTTGCCTTTCTGAGGATAATAGCAGCTGGTGACATCACCAGTGCATGCGCACTGCACTCTCAATGGACAGCGTGCCGTCCATTGAGAGAACCATGCCGTGGCCTTGACTCCCGCACGCATGCATGGGAGTAACATCGTCGCAGCTCAAGCATTCAAGCAGCCATAGCCTACAAACCTATAAGGAAGACCGGGTTAAGATGGAATCGCCTACAGCAGTGACATTGTGCCGCTGGAGGGCTTCGTGTTAAGGTAAGTCTTTCATAAAGTGCCACCCTATTAAATTGTAAGCTCTTATTAGCAGGGCCCTCTTTTGTGTTTTTTTTTTTTTTTTTTATTGTATTGTAATTGTACTGTCTCCCTTTTTATATTTTAAAGCACTGCACAAACTGTTGGTGCTATATAAGTCCTGTATAATAATAATAGCATGCAATGCATACTAGTACATTAAGCTATTATCCTCCAGAGGACCTTTTTTTTTTTTTTTTTTTTTTTTTTTTTTTTTTTTTTTGAGTTTTTAGTGGTTTACTACTAATTTTGAAACACAGTTGAAGGGGGAATCTCTCAGTGGGGCCACCCATTCTGGAAACAGTTGTCTTAGTTGGGATTTACTTACCATGAAGATTTCTTTCAGTTATTTCCATGTCTCCAGGGAACAATAAGGAAGAATGACTAGTATTGTGAGAAGCAAGCATTGGCTGAATAAGAATTAAAATAGAGAAAGGCTATGAGCAAGGATGGGGATAGGTTAAGAAAAATAAGGTAGGGAAGCAAAATACCAGGGAAGAATGTATGATATTGTTGCATTAAATGCTATGCTGGCTTTTTTTTGCCTTTTTAGGATGTACTGACGATTCTAGTAAATATTTTCTTTCTGTTGCAGGCACCATTGGTCATGTAGCCCATGGTAAATCAACAGTAGTTAAAGCCATCTCTGGTGTACATACTGTCCGGTTTAAGAATGAGCTGGAAAGGAATATCACCATCAAACTTGGTTATGCCAATGCTAAGGTAACTTCATTTTGAAAATTTGTTGTGGTAAGACAGTCTTCCCAGTAAGGTGAAAAGCCTGGAGTGCCATGGCCAAGTTTTTATAACTTGTCAGATTAGCAGCAGTATTGCTGAATAGTTTTTTAAACGTGCAAGCTCCAAGACTGTCATCCTTTTCTTTCCTATGCTACTTGGCAAGGAGCTGACTCAGAATCAGCGTCCTGACTTCCACTGGCTGTCAAGGATGAAGATGATTGCTTGGTAGTCTGGACTTTCAAAAACAGCAGTAGTTTTAGCTCCCCTACAGTCTTCCTGTGAGGTTCCCTTCAGGTGTGTTTATATGCGCTGGTTATAAGCATTATTTGATCTATTTGAACCTCTGTTGTAGTGGCTCTTAATACAGATTATTATTCAACATAATATAAAAAGTGCAGGACATACAAAAACCACACTTGATAGTATATGGGGTTCTAATTAACTGCTTTTAGTGTCCTTAGGAAGTTCAGACCTAAAAACCCAGATTGGATTAATTTGACCATTTTCAAGACATTCAGCTGGATCTTATGACCTCCCATTAGACTGCAGTTTCAGCATGTTGGCAATTTGATTATTGTAACATAAGGAAAATTGCTGCTAAGTGGACATCATTGCTTTGTTTAATTGAGACTTTTTGATGATGAAAGTCAATGTTGTATTTCCCTAGTGTTTTGCATCTAATGAATTTTGTCTTTGCAGATTTACAAACTTGATGACCTAAGCTGTCCTAGGCCTGAGTGTTATCGCTCCTGTGGCAGCAGCACCCCTGATGAATTTCCAACAGACCTACCTAACACAAAGGGAAATTTTAAATTAGTCAGGTAATAGATGGTTGAGAAAGTTGTGGGTAGTACTAAATATGCTTCAAAAGAAAAGTGTTTTGAAGCAGATTCTTTACTTTTTTCAAATTAACATTTTATAACTTTGTTTGGCAGACATGTATCCTTTGTAGATTGCCCAGGCCACGACATTTTGATGGCAACTATGCTGAACGGTGCAGCTGTTATGGATGCTGCATTGTTGTTAATAGGTGAGTGTGCATTCTGTTAGAGCTGTGTAATTTTGTGTTCGAAGAATAATGACCACTGCTCTGTATGTACAGCTGGTAAATACTTGTTTAACTTGTGCTACTAATTAAAACATAGCTATGTTATCTAGCTAGGCAATGTCTGAAAGAGCAGTAGTTGCTCTTAATTTTAACCTGTGGTTTGCAAAAGCACAGGTTCACTGGATAACAGGCATAACTTGTGCTTGTGCATCCCTATTGCTCTGTTCACAGCTGGATTTCCAAATACTTCAGTTTAGGGTTATCAGGGACCAGAAAACCCTTTTCCACAGTGATACGGATACTCTGCTTGAGAGGATAGCAGCTAGTTATTAAAAGAGACCTAAAGATACATTGACAATAAAGAACATTAATCACTGACTCAAAAACAATGTGTGCATATCCTCTGTCCATCCATGTAGCTGTTTTTTGGCTTTTCGTAACAGCTGGCAGGATTGGAGATACGTTTGGCTTCATGCTTATTGCAAAACCACATTTCTCATATCTCCTTGCAGTGCCTCCAATTACTGTAATGCTGTTGCGGTCTGAGCCCAAGTGAAAAGAACACAACCCTTGCACCCTTTAGACATGATGCTTTTTCCTGCTTGAATGATGCAGAAAGTAGCTGTGCAAAGTGATGATCAGTGGCTTTACTTCACCTAATCAGACCTGCTGCTGGAACAGGAATACCTGATCAGTAAATTGTACATCTAAAGTCTGCACCTACCAGTGGCCAGCACGTCTAAAGGGTTCCGAGAATGTGTTCTCTTATGTAATGCTGCAGCCTCAGAGCTGCTTTGGCCAGAAGACAGGTGCAGCTTTCCTATGAGGTGCAAGTGGAGAGGGTCTTTGGGAGCAATTCCTATTTTCTTTACTGTGAGACTAACATGGGGACAGAGGGCTTGATTTACTAAATGCAAATCTACTGTGCACTGCAAGTGCAGTTCTCCATAGCTTCGTAAATGAGATAAAGCTTCACTTTGCAAAGAATACCCAATCGCATGCAAGGAAAAATAAAAAGTCAGCATTTTTGCTTGCACATGATTGGATGATAGAAATCAGCAGAGCTTCCCCTCAAATCTAGAGCAACTGCATTTGCAGTGCACAGTGTATTTGCCTTTAGTAAATCAACTTTCCATTTTTGCTCTTTGTGCATCTAAACGGATGGCTACAAAGAGAGAGATTGAGATGGCAGAATGGTTTGTAGCCTTTGTCAGAAATGTAGTGAATGCAGATGAGATTCTTTTTAACATTTGTTGGCTTTAAATAAAACAAATTTTAAAGAACTTTAGATTATTTTTAGTGATTTAGCGGCAATTCTCTGCATCTCCTTCAAAGTTACAAATGGCCTCCTGGTTGCTTATGATTAGAGTTCTCCATGCCTTGTCCATATGTTTTGGTAAACAATTGATGGTGCTTCAAGAGATATTCAAAGTTTGACATTTTTTTTTCATGCACTGGCCCTTGATATCTTTATTTCTTGCTTGATTTGATGTTTTTATACCAGTTTTTGTGTATATTTTCCAAAAACTTTGGTTCCTTCCAAAGGCAAATTTTAAGGAGATTGCTTAACTCTTTAATTGCACACAGTCACCCTTCATTCATTAAAGAGGGGCTCCAGTTTCCCCCAAAAACATTGAAAATATAAATAAGTAGCTGCTGATTTTTAATATAAGGACACTTACCAAGGATCCAGCGATATCCTCTCCCAGGCTGATTCTTCAACCGACTTCGGGTGCAGGCAGTGCTGGCAGTGAAGCCTGTCGGTTTCCTAATGCATGTACACAAGTCGCTCTGCACTTTGTGAATGGTTCCATAGTCCTCTGGGACCCGTATGTGTCCCAGAAGGCTGCAGAGGGAAGAATGAAGGGGGACGAACTTCCCAGCAATCTGATCCGGAAGTGGGAATGGATACCCACCCCCAAAAAAACTGCCAAACGTGGCACTGTAGGGGTGGGAATGATGTAAGCCAGAAATGTCCTTTTTTTGGGTGCCGTTCTGCTTTAAATTACAGTTACTTGTAAATGCCATTGGTTGCATTTGGTGATTAGCCACACAGTTCCTGAAAATAGGAGGTATAACATACACACGTACAAATTAAAACTGTTTAAAATAACCTATACCTAGGCTGTCAATGCTGACCTATTCTGAAAATGCTAGTTTTACCAGCAGTATTACAAGTTTCTGGGATCAATGTTTTAAATAGATGATCCAGAATAAGCATGTAGAGCAGGTGTGACTTTACTGTCCACGTTCTCATTATCAGTCATTAAAGGTAGAAACATCTGGGCAACTAGCATTTTTAAAAGGGCATCATCAGTGATATTCCATATATTTCTTTGTGCAGGTGTCCTTTCCTATAAACTTTACTTTCCATTCTGTGTAGCTGTGCATGCATTACAGATGTTAACTGTTATTTTCAACTTGAATTTCCAGCTGGCAATGAATCCTGCCCACAACCCCAGACATCCGAGCATTTGGCAGCTATTGAAATAATGAAACTAAAGCACATTCTTATTTTACAAAATAAGATTGACCTGGTAAAAGAGAGTCAAGCCAAGGAACAATATGAGCAGATTCTTGCATTTGTACAAGGTAAAGTTGCTAGATCTTTTCTCCAGGGATTGGGAGAGGGGCTTTGCTGTGTAAAAGTAGACATCTTCAACCAGTTAGGGACCTAGGACATACCAGGTATCCAGGGTCCCTGCCTGCTATGCACACAGGTCATCTGACCTCCTGGTTTGTATATCAGAGCTGCTGCTTTTTCAGTTCTGCTCAGCAGAAACAGCTGTCTGGTCAGTGTTTGTTAAAATGTAATCGAACACTGATACATTGTAGTTAGTTGTTGCTGACAGCGCAATTAACTACAGTGTAACATTTTTACACAGAAGTTCTTTATGAAGAAACCCCAGTGCAAAGATGTTTTCTTTACCATTTCATTAAACCTTTGTTACCCCTGACTAGTTCTTATTAAATAGGTATCACAGCTTCTGTTGCTTAATCTGTGCTTTGGTTGCTGAGCAGGGCCAGATCTAGCCTGACTTATCTGGGGGTGCAGTAAAAAAAGTAAGGGGGTATAATTTCAACACCGTATCATTTTATCCTCTCCTCTACATTTTTCTCAACCTTTTTTTAAGTTAAAACTTTCATTTACATTTGCAGATGCACACAAAAAGATATAATTTTGCTTCACTGAGCCTACCTTAAAGAACTTTGGTCAGGGCTATGTAATGTATAGTATATAGAATGCAGGAGTCAGCAGTAAAGATGTGCATAGAGTAAGGTGTGGGGAGGCATGGCAGGAAGGGGAGAGAGATGGGGCAAGGGGAGTCAGGGAGGGGGAAAAGAGGAGGAGGGGGGGGGAGAGGGTGTGGAGGGGGGAGAGAGTGCCCACAGAGGGATATACACAGGTCACTTCCAGTGGTATTTGCACAGTGGTTACTCTGTTCATAGCAGCTGTGCTTTTTTTTTCTCAATGAGGAGTCCTTCACATCTGTGTTTGAGGGTGGTAAAACTAGGTGGTTGAGCCATGGTTTTAATGCTTTCCTTTACAGTATATTCACACCAGATGTGGTGGGACTGCGTTAGGCGGCTATTCCAGCATAGTTCTACCATCTGACAAGTCAAAATAACTTGTCTCTGGTATGTCTGGTTCAGAGCTGTGTGCATGCAGTACTTTTTTCTGTGTGGTGCAGTGCAAAGCTCTCTAGCACCTCGTACTGTGTGGCAGCTAATTCCTGTGTTCTGTAAGTAACTTGGTACCTGTACATACACAGCAAGCTCTCCTCACTGCTGTGTGTGTGCAAGTCAGCACCCCCCTAGATCCGTCCCTGTTGCTGAGCTAGCATGGTGAAACGGCACGCCATCTCTTTCACACCTCTAGACCATGCTGCTCGGCAGGCTCCAAATTTCGATTTGACGTTTGGGTGACAATGTTCATCTCCGGTCTCGGGTGTGCTGGAGCTGAGCACCCTCATTCACAACAGTTGGGGAGAGGTGTAATTGGGGACTGTCCGCAAACTTCGTGAACAGTTTTTTGTCTCCCTGCCTTATCTATCTATCAATTTTTTTCATACTGTTCACACAAAAAGTGTGTTTTCGTGATGTACAAAGGTATTGATTACATTGTGGTGAACTCTATACTCTGCTGACTTTTAGTGTTTGATGCTTTTACAGGTACAGTTGCAGAGGGGGCTCCTATCATTCCCATATCGGCTCAGCTGAAATATAACATTGAAGTAGTCTGTGAATACATTGTAAAGAAAATCCCAGTGCCTCTACGAGACTTCACCTCAGAGCCCAGACTTATTGGTAAGGTTTGCATGTGTAGATGATGGGTCAATGAAAAATCACAATATTTTACAGAGGGGGTTGATTATTTTTAAATTAAACTGGGTTTGTGTTTTATGTAAAGTTGTGTTTTTGTTTTGTTTTTTATTTAGTTTAGGTTATACCTTTCAACCCTCAGAGGTTGGGGAGGAGGAATGACTTTGATGATTAGGACTATTATGCTGAGAACACAATTTGCAGCAGCCATTCACACGTTCGGCTGCTTTCACTCTGCTCTGCTGAAAAATTGTACCAAAAAAACGCATATGCATTTGATGTGTTTCTAGTGCATTTTCTGGGTGCCTGACTCCCAGCAGGCACCCATAGAACATGGACATGTGATGCATTCTCCATTTATTTCAGTGGGGTTTTGCATTTTTGGTGTGGTTTTAAAAAGCTCACCAAAAATGCAGCATGCAGGCCTTTTCAAATCGCGCCACACCTGCAGAGCAGTGGTGTGAAGAGCTTTTAGCAAGGTGAAAGCAGCCTTACACTAAACAAAAAAAGCCTATATTTTGGAACACCATGAAGTTCTATTCTTGCTGATTAGGTTCACACAGTGACTATAATGCAAAAAAATATATATATTTAAAACTAATATTAGACAATATACATAGATTTACAGTCCTTCACATAACATCTCACACACTACTGTATTTTTTATATCTCTAAAAAGACTTCACAATCACTGAAATCTTGTAGGCTGAATATATGGTGGGGCCCAGGCAGATTCCAACAAGTTGCATGGGTGACTGTGCCCAACTTATTGAAGGATTATAAAGGGTGATATATTTTTCTTGGGCCAAGTCACCAACTGAGCGTTGGAGTGTCTGTCTCACCAAACCACCCCCTGGGAGGGGAGTAGGCAAGATATAGGCCCATACAGGTTTCACTGTGCCAACAAGTCCAGAGCAACCAAATGCTACACCATCTTCTAGTGTTATTTGAGAAGCATGTATTTTAAAGTGACAGGGTTGCTCTGGACGCGTTGGCATAGTGAGTTCTGTACAGAAAGATTTTGTTTTTTTTAACTTGGAGTAAGTTAAATAAAACCATATTTATCAAATGTGGAATTGATAAAATGAAAAGGCATATTTGTACAAAATTTACTCTTTAATCATTATAAACAATGTTTTTGCAGTAGGATAATTCGGTTTCATGTTTTGACTAAGATAATTTGCTGCTGTCCAGTTATCAGATCTTTTGATGTCAACAAGCCAGGATGTGAAGTTGATGATCTAAAAGGAGGAGTAGCAGGAGGCAGTATTCTGAAAGGCGTATTAAAGGTAAGCAACATTACTGAATGATGGATAATGATCACCTGCGCGTAGGACACACCAACCAATAGTGCACACTCAATATTAAACAAAAAATGGGCTGCTGCTCCTATAAAGGTACAACCTTAACAACATAATACACAAAATAGCAGGAGTGCTGCCTCATTGTGTTATATGACATGTTGAACATGCTTAAATAATGAACACATAACAAATAGTGAAATAAAGTCCCAAATGTGAAATCAAATGAACAAAAATGCCTTTTCACATCCAGAGAGGTGATAAGTGCTCTGTGCTCCCCACCTTTGTGCCCCCTCACTCGCCAACTTTAATGGACTCTTATGGTGAAATAAGAGTCTTTCATGCTTTTGGTGGGGCATAGGAAGTCATGCTGGAGCTTGTTCCCCAGTGATTCAAATGTAGAGCCAATCGATATATACATGTAAGGAATGGAGAGAGGCATCCAAAGTAGTGTAATTCTGTTTTAGTAAAAGCAGACACACTGGTATTGCACTCACATGTTTCCAGATACAATAGGCATGAATCTCCAAGTGTACAATAGTAGGTCACTAGTATTCCACAAAACTGACCATTAATTGCTGGATGATCGTTGCTGGCTGACGATCATCCAGCAACTAATGGTTCTTTTTATCTAGAAATCAAGATTTATTTATTTTCCTTTGTATTCTAGGTGGGACAGGAAATAGAGGTTCGGCCTGGAATTGTGTCCAAGGATAGTGAAGGAAAACTTATGTGCAAGCCAATCTTTTCAAAAATTGTGTCTCTATTTGCTGAGCACAATGACTTGCAGTATGCTGCTCCAGGGGGCCTTATTGGTAAGTTGTTTTAATCCCATTCACAAACTTCCATGAGACTTGAAGAGTTCTGTCCAGTCAAAACATTTTTTTTTCTTTTTTTGGAAAGGAACATCTGCACGCTCTCAGCGCTCCAGTGCTGTTTGAGATATCCCCCTCTCCCCTCATGCACTGTCCGGATGACGACAGTGATAGCAGGCAGGAAGTGAGGGAAAATCTGCAACAGAGACACAGACAGCAGTATAAAGCTCTATTAAGAACACATTTTTTTTTTTTCCTTTTTTAAATTTTTGTCTGTTTCTGGTTAGATTCTCCTGTAAATTTCTCTAAGCCCCAGAATGGCTATTTGCTGCTGACGAGTTCTAATCTCTTCGCACTGAAAAAAGTTATGTCTGGACATACTTTACCTGTAGTGGGCTTTACAATTTGGGCTTAATGTAGCTAATTTATTAAGAACCGCTACAGTGGTAAGAGGTGCTCATTCTGTAGCCCACGAAGAAAGACTTCTTGTGAAAAAACACTGAAACACATGGCGTCTCAGAAGAAGCTCACATATATGTGTGTGTGTGTGTGTGTGTGTGTGTGTGTGTGTGTGTGTGTATATATATATATATACACACACACATTTTTTTTTTTACCTTTTTTTATTTATTTTTTAGTCTTGTAAGGAAATCCATTACAGTTTTTAATGTATGATTTATCTTTCAGTGCAACATTGCAATCCACAAATCTTACAAATCGTATTATTTTTCTTTAAGGTGTTGGCACTAAGATTGACCCAACATTGTGTCGTGCTGATCGTATGGTCGGGCAGGTTCTTGGTGCAGTTGGTGCGCTGCCTGAAATCTTTACAGAGCTGGAAATTTCTTACTTCCTTTTGCGACGTCTCCTCGGAGTTCGCACAGAAGGGGACAAAAAGGCAGCAAAGGTGAAGATTTAAGTATTTTGTTCTGTTAACAACTTGACCTCCGGAAGATTCACCCCCCTTCATGACTAGGCCATTTTTTGCGATACAGCACTGCGTTAATTTAACTGACATTTGTGCGGTCATGCAACACTGTACATAAATGAAATTTATGTCATTTTTTTTTCCCCGCAAATAGGGCTTTCTTTTGGTGGTATTTGATCATCTCTGTGTTTTTATTATTTGCACTATAACAACAAAAAAATCCACAGACGTTTTAAAAAAGCAAAACAAAGAATAGGTAATGGCTGCGATCAGCGACTTGCAGCAGGACAGCAATATTGCGGTGGACAGTCTGACACTAACTGACACTTTGTGGGAACCAGTGACGCTAATACAGTGATCAGTGCTAAAAATATACACTGTCACTATATTAAGGACACTGGCTGTTAGTGGGTTAAACATCTGGGGCGATCAAAGGGCTAATTTTGTGCCTAGCCAGTGTATTTGTGTACTGTGTGCACTGTTTTTACTAGGCAATCTGCGAGATTTTATTCCATGAATAAAATCTAGCAGATCCCCGCTGACAGAATACAGCTCTGTTTTGTTTACATAGGCAGAACTAAGTTCTGTCAGTCTCCTTGGCAATCAATGGGTGCCAGTGCTCATCCATTGGCTGGCACCTGTTTATCAGCTTCTGCTGTGTCCAAGCACAGCAGAAGTGGAGCTCTGGAAGCAGGCACGCACCCCCCGAGGCAGAAGTGTAAAATCGCTTTTTTATACACGTGATTTTTTACAGAACGTAGGCCCTATAGCAGTTAATCTGCTATAGGGCGAACAGAAAATGGGTAAAGGCAGTAGAAATTGTTGTGGTAAACACGTTAGTGTTTACCATTTAAGTACTTAAAAAAATTTCTATATTCTAGTTACTTACTGCATTATAGCACAAATACAGTTTTATGTTTCATTAAAATGTTGTTTTTTTTTTCTGTGTTTTAGGTGCAAAAACTATCTAAGAATGAGGTTCTGATGGTCAATATTGGTTCCCTATCCACTGGAGGCCGTGTTAGTGCTGTAAAAGCCGATTTAGGAAAGATTGTGCTCACAAACCCTGTGTGCACAGAAGTAGGAGAGAAAATAGCTCTCAGCCGAAGAGTTGAAAAACATTGGCGGTAAAGTTATTCTGCTGCTCATTCTTTAATATAGAAGTGTCCATAATGTTTAAACAGGTTTTAACTTACTAGTTACAGTTTTTCCATTGGTTACTGTTATGTTTTGGTTACTAGGGTACCACTTCGGCTGCTAAAATATTTGTTACCGTGCATGAAATTGACTTTTTCTGTGTATGGGATGTTTATAGATGTTTGTATATTTTTTTTATGTTTGTGAAATGGTGTTTCTCATGGAAGGCAGGCATAGCACGTTATTATTTTATATTGCACCAACTGTTTTTGCTGCTTCTTACAAAATAAAGGTAGACAGCACAGTTACAATACAACTTCCTACAGGGATTAGGAGGGCCCTGCTCATAAACTCTTACAATCTAGAAGGGAGGGGCAAGTGATACAAAAGGATGAGAGGATGAGTTGATGGTTTTTGTGATGTGGTTGGTAAACATATTACAACACCATACTACTAAGATGAGAATCTTACAAATCTGGTTAATTTTTTTTTGTCTCAATTCTATTTGTTTCTTCTCTTTGCAGTTTGATTGGCTGGGGTCAAATAAGAAGAGGCGTAACAATAAAGCCAACTGTAGATGATGATGACTAAATAGAATTCAAGATCCCACATCGCTGCTAAAATGTTTTTAGAAAAAAAAAAAAAATAACATCTGCCAAATACTTACTGAGGAAGTGCTACCTATATGGATTATATAAGTCTCCATACCACAGAAGCTTATTATTTTATAGTCCCAGGTTCTAATTTATAATTGAGCAGATTTTCAGCACAAGACAAACTTTATGACGCTATCCAGAGACCTTCTGCCTTGTGTCACGTCAAATTGTATGCTTTGTTACAAAGTACAATGCTATGTTCTTTACTCTTCCTGATTTGGCCCAGACCTCAGGACTTGTTTCATCAGTGAAGGAATGTCAGCTGAATAAATTTCAAAAGACCAAATGCTTTACTACTCCAATTAATTAAAGTAAAAGCTTAGCTCTGAACAGTCACAGTGCGGTGAGGTTATAAATACTACTCTGTTTGCTCAGATTTGCCAGTATATCTTTGTGATGGCCCTGTGAACGGCTTGGAAGTATGAATAAAATTTGTATTCTGATGAAGTGGGTGATACAGGGGACACTTGGGTGGTTTCTTTTCAGCTTTGGAATTGGGTATGAGAAACGATCATGTTAGTGCCTTCTGATGAATGGAGTTTGTATGTAGAATTGTGCCAGTCTACTACGAGATGTGTAAGTCATCGGTGAACATTACAACTGCTTTAATTCATCAAAGTTTTATATTATCGACGATCTGCTTTGACCTACAATAATAAATTGGATTCAAACCATTTTTTAAAAAGTTAGACTCTGGCTGCTGTGGGGCAGTAGAGAATGTTTATTCTGGACATGGCTAAATAGGCCCAGTGTCATCAACTTGCATAGGAAACCTGATGTTAGTAAATTAAAGTGTTACTAAACTCAGGACCCTGCATTCACTATAGCTGGTCTCCCACAGAACATGGAAATGCAATTATTTTAGTAAATATAAATTGCTAAATACCTTTTCCCATTAGCAGTATATAGCAGTCTTGTGACTTCAGCAGAGCACTGATTAAAGCTTGTAGGAGGAGTTTTATTTCTGCTCTAGGAGGATGCAAAACTCCTGACCCTCTGGACAGTGCTGATCTCATGCTCTCTTCCGAAAAAAAAAAAACCCAAAAACCTCTAGCAATGCACACTAAACTGAGCATGTGTATATGACATACGGGTTTAGTCTGTCTTATCAGTAGATAAGATGTGGACATTTGAACAAGAGGAGGAACAGAGAAAACAGAATCAAACGGCTTTTTTGCACAATGCAGAGGATTAACCCCTTAGGTTCCACAGTGAGTATAACAAGCATGCTTTATTGTATATACAGACTGATTTTACTGTTGTGGGTTTAGTAACACTTTACCATCTTATGGTATAAGACACACCTATCAGGCTAATATGCAAAGTGCTCAGTTGTCTGGTTCTACAACCAGGAGAATGAGCTACAAATGCACCCAAATAAGAGACTGGTCAGTCAAGAGTTGCAAGTCATGAAACCTAATCGTAGTGCCACAAATATACCACACAGCAGAAGTGAATTGCAGCATTGTAACAAAAAAAAGTTGGTAACTTTACAGCTGTATTCAAATGCCTGTGGTAGTGCAGCAGGTGTTTGGAGAGCAGAAACCATCTTTCGGAAGGAGAATGCATTAACACACACAGAAAGCATTTTAACCAAATGGTGAAATATTCAGCTGCCTAATTTCCAGTGGCTCCCCTCTGTAGGAATGGGGTTAGGTTGATGACATCTCCAAAATGAGCTTCTCCCTTAATCTAACACCTTCCAGCTTAAATTGTTAGTGTCTAACCCAGTGTTTCTCAACCTTTTTTCGATCAAGGCACCCTTTAAAATTATGGACAGTCTTGATGCACCCCATTCTAAATTGTGAAAAATGATTCTAATAGTTTTATATAACACAGCAAAATCCACACATATAGGACACCCAACATTAGAGGTGATTTATTCTTCCAAAGCAAATACACTTTTGTACACTGGCACTGAGTAGTATTCCAGTTTTTCTCCATCACAGACCTAATGTGACCTCAGCACTGATGGGGAGGGTCAAACTAGGATGCAGCTGACATCATTCTTATGAACTGCTGATGTCATTGGTTGTCAGGATGCCAGCAGCTAGAAGGTTGTGAAAAACACAATGAAAACCTGTGGCTTTGGGTAACTTAAAGGCAGGCTTGTTCCACCCACTGGCTTGTGTACAACTTTTGGGCAATTTTTAGACATTTTGCCAAGGCCCCTGAAAAAGGCATCCTGGTTGAGAGGCTGGTCTAACCCATGCAAAACAATGTGACATACAGCATTCCCTGGATTATAATTTATATTGTAATACTTTACCTCCAGAATCTAAACTTTCAGACTGGTGATTTTAACCCATATAGGCTAGACTGCAGTGAAATTTAACCACATCCTGACCGTCCTATAGCAGATATACAGCTACAAGGTGGCAGGGGTGTGCAAAATCACGTGTATATATGTGTACGCACGCACGCACGCACACACACACACGCTTTTCGGGGAGGGGTTTTGGCGGGGACGCCAGAAGAGAAGGATCGGGGCTGCTCTTTGCAAAACCATTGCAAAGAGCAGGTAGGTATAACATGTTTGTTATTAAAAAAAAAGGTAATATATCTTGTTAATGGCCTCAGAATCTATTTTTAATTAAATTATTTCTTACTGTGTTTTTCTGCCTCCTTGTAATGTCCTCAGTGAGCTTTCCCAGTGCATATTAGTTTGCATTTCCCTATGCACACTACACATCACATTGTGCATCTCAGGAGTGAGCAAGAGACAGCGGGTGAGATTTTTAAAACTGATACCTGCACAATCAGGTACAGCTGTGCTCAGTAACCAATCAGCTTTTAACTTCAGCTTGTTCAATTAAGCTTTGACAATAAAACCAGTTTTAGTAAATCTCCCCCAGTAGCTACAAAATTCCTGCATACGGCAGATAATGGAGAATGAATGTAGCCACCCTCTAACAGGAAGCAGCAAGAAGAAAAAAAAAAAGACTTTAGAGCAGACTGGGAGCAATAAAAGGTTATTTTTTAAGTTAAAAATTTATACTTTATTTTTATTTTTTTTAAACTTCTTCCCTACTGTGCTATAGCCAAAAGACGGCTACAGTGTGGTTGTCTAGTGCTGGGATGACGTCTATGGATGTAATTCCAGAACACACACCCCAGAGGCATGCACCCGGTGATCTCTGTGTCCTACTGAGCTGCTCATGGGATACAGTAAACGGCCGATCACAGCGGTCTTTTACCACGTGATCAGCTGTGTCCAAAACAAAGAAAAACTTTTTTGCAAATGTTTTGCATTTTTTTGTTTATCGTGCAAAAAATAAAACACCACCAAAAGAAATCTATTTCTGTGAAAAAAAATTTCCTGTGGGTGCAGTGTTGTATGACCGTGCAATTGTCATTCAAAGTGCGACAGTGCTGAAAGCTGAAAATTGGCCTGGTAAGGAAGGGGGTATAAGTGCTGAGTAGGCAAGTGGTTAAACAGCTTGGTGCCAGTTTAATAGTCATTTAGGTAGAACCCCAGACACATGGCTAAACACCGTTAACAGATTTATTGCTTTACCCACCAAAAGGTTTGTAAATCTGTGTCCCACTGAAATGTTTAGCATGTACCACACACATTGGGATTAACAAGTCTGCTTCCTATGTCACATCTATGCCTCCAACTTGTTTATTGGACAATAACACAACATCATTACACTTGTTTAAAGTAAAGTCAAGGCAATTTTGGTGTTCATTTTTTCTTTACATCATTGCCAGCATTCTTGATATGATATACTCTTGGGCCCAATCATGGTCTTCGTTCCTATGGGCTGTAATGGAGGCACCCTGGTAAAAGAGCAGTGATTTTCACTTCCTCTACCACCACAGTTCAGCATGAACTGGAGGCCCACTCAACTTGTCACTTGTGTGATTCCTGTTCTGTGTTTTCAATGCAAGTCTCACACTGTCATGTGACTACATCTTAATGCCAGCTACAGCATATGCAGCAATTCCTCATTTTGGAGTAGAAAATAGGGAAGCTAAAACATGTGGCCTGTTTTAGAGCACATATAAAGGCACAGTCTCCTTGCAGGTGGAATCCATTTCTCAAATTCAAGATCTGGCAACAGTTGTGACTAGATCCGAAAGTAAAAGGAAATCCAAAAATGTACAGAAACAGAGTTTGAAAACTTTTCAATAAGAACATTTGTGTCAGTGACAACTGTCTAAGGTCTCGTTCACCATGGGTGTACTACAATATACGCCCATGCAAGAGCTGTGTTTACCTGCATGGGGATGCACAGGTTTTCCATGCAGGTTGTCCAAATAATGTCAATGGGCATGCAGCTGCTGCATGGATATAGCCAGTACTCCCGAATTGACTGCTGTGCAGGTGTGGGTGCATGGCCCTGATGGCAGACTGTGCATTTGGAGCACCTGCACGGCTGTCAAATTTGGAGCAGCGGCTGGGTCCTGAGTGACAAATAGAACACCTATACGGGTAAACACGGCCCTTGCATTGCCGTATGAAGTAGTATGGCTGTATGAATAAAGCCTAACTGGGACGTTCCCCTTATTTCCAAACAAAAAAAGGTTTTTGAGGTTGTAACCAATCTAAAACAACAAAAGCACTTTTGACTAAAGTGATATACTTTCAAATTTGTCGTAACCATATGTCTGCAGCATGCTACATCCCATTTTCTGAGGTCATACTGTTCTATTGTCTGTATACCAGATGAAGCCTGAAGAAGAAATGTATCAAATTTGATGAATATATAATATCCGTGAGATTTTAGTTACCTTAAATTTGGTCCCCAGGTTTCCTATGACTTTAGTTTGTTTGGTCCAACCTGGTCCAAATGAACTATTTCCTTCACTAAGTGCTGCACTGCCTCTAAGCACTATATTCTAGCTGTGAGACTGTTCCCACACCTGGATCAATGCAGAGTCGGTCTGGGTGGCCTCAGGTGTATACTGTGATGTCATCATCCTGCCTCTGTCTCAGCCAATCAGAGGAAGCTTTGTACTCATTCACAGAATACAAAGCTGCCTATGAATGGCTGAGCGCTGCTCAAATCGACTTTGCATTAGTCTGGGTATGAGATGGGAAGACTGTGTCTCACAGCTGGATCCCAGCTCTGTGTACTGTATGTAGCTGCTGAAGCTACGTGCAGTACATACAGGGCTTAGAGCCAGTGCTTAGTCCGTAGGGTTCAATATTGAGTTGGCCCACCCTTTGCAGCTATACTAGGTTCATTTCTTCTGGGAATTCTATCCACAAGGTTTAGGAGTGTGTCTCTATGGGAATATTTGACCATTTTTGCAGAAGCGCATTTGTGAGGTCAGGCACTGATGTTGGATGAGAAGGCCTGGCTCGCAATCTCCTCTCTAATTAATCCCAAAGTTGTTTCTGTTGGGTTGAGGTCAGGACTCTATGCAGGCCAGTCAAGTTCTTCCACCCCAAACTCGCTCATCCATGTCTTTATGGACCTTGCTTTGTGCACTGGTATGTTGGAACTGGAAAGGACAGTCCCCAAACTGTTCCCACAAAGCTGAAAGCATGAAATTGTCCAAAATGTCTTCGTATGCTAATGCCTTAAGAGTTCCCTTCAGTGGAAATAAGGGGCCAAGCCCAACCCCTGAAAAACAACACACACTATAATCACCCCCTCCACCACCAAATTTTACACTTGGCACAATGCAGTCAGGCAAGTACAGTCACCTGGTAGCCGCCAAACCCAGAGACGTCTGTCTGATTGCCAGACAGCGAAGCGTGATTGGCCACTCCAGAGAACACCTATCCACTGCTCTAGAGTCCAGTGGCAGCGTGCTTTATATCACTGCATCTGACGCTTTGCATTGCACTTGGTGATGTAAGGCTTGGATGCAGCTGCTCGGCCAAAAACCCATTCCATGAAGTTCTCTATGCTCTGTTGTGCTAATCTGAAGTTTGGAGGTCTTTAGCTACTGACTCTGCAGACTTCTGCACACTGTGCTCTTCAGCTTGTGCTGACCCCGCTCTGTCATTTTATGTGGCCTACCACTTCGTGGCTGAGTTGCTGTTGTTTCCAGTTGCTTCCACTTTGTTATAATACCACTAACAGTTCACAGTGGAATATGTATTTAATAGCAAGGAAATTTCACGGATGGAATTATTGCACAGGTACCACGCTTGAATTCACTGAGCTCCTGAGAGCGACCCATTCTTTCACAAATGTTTGTAGAAGCAGTCTGCATGCCTAGGTGCTTGATTTTATATACATCTGTGGCCATGGAGGTGGATTGGAACACCTGAATCCAATGATTTGGAGGGGTGTCCCAATACTTTTGGCAATTTAGGTGTCCGTTTATGGACCAGCGGTAATAGATCGCTGCTTAGTTCTCCGGCATTCTCAGAGAACACAGTTCTCCTGTGAATGCAGTTTATGAAGCAGTTCTCCAAACGAAGGGAGAATGGTCTCCAAACGCTGGAGAACGGTCTACAAACTCTGGAAAACGGCTCATTTTACTATAATCTCTCGAGATTATAGTAAAAGATCAGTTTACTAAACAGGTAAATTATCTCTGCTTAGTTTTCAGTCCCTCTGATTCTCCAGCTCTGGGCTGGAGAATCTAGAGGGAGAACACAGATCTCCAGCGAAGGGCTGACATGATCTCCTGAGTGTCATAAACTGTGAATGACCAGAGAATAGCTGAGATCTGTTGAATCGCAGCTATTCTCTGTGTCATAAAAAGACACCATAGTGTATTTGAAGTGACAGAAAATCAGCTTTAAACTGAAGTGGTGTGCTATACAAAAGGATATACAGTGATATAGATAATTGAAGACATTAAACTGTATCTAAACCCAAGACCAAATAGGAAATATACAGCTTTCCAACCCATACAGGTGTTGGCTACATTGGTTTTTTTTTTTCCTATGCAGTTTTCACCTGATGATCCTGTCCTTGACACACTTCCTATCCAAGGCTGCAAGCATTCAGAAACTACTATTTCTGTGGAGGAAAAGTATTGTCACTAGGACAGTAAGTTTGTTAGTACAACAGAACACCTTCCCCTCTGCTCAGTAACATGATGGGAGGTGACCCATAGGCCAATTATAATACTTTTTACTCAAAAGTAAAAAAAAAAAAAAGCATGAATTTTACAAGAGGTCAATCCTCCTTTGGGCTGGCCATACACTATACAATTTTCTTCCAAATTTCTGCCCAATTTCCTTTAGATTTACCTTCAACTATGTAGTACAAGAGCCTGCCTAATTGGATACAACTGAAAGTGTTGTTAGGTTTGACCTCCTATTATCTGGTTTTTGGTGAATCTAAACCAAAAATCTTAAGAAAATTGTATAATGTATGGCCAGTCTTAATTATGTTTCACATGCCCCACCCCCAGCATTGCAGCCTTCATTGGGAGGGATTCAGCTACAGAGACAGTGCTATCAATCCAGAAAGCTGTGTGCAGGGTTGGGTATGGTCAGATGCTGATTGACAAGCTGCAGGATTGTAAATCAGCAGTGACAATGCTGATAGCCACACTCCCCTGCAAAATATCTCATTCCCCTGAAGTGCAATCAGGCACAGCCTACATGAGAGTGACAGCTCTACTCTGCATTTAGCAGCGCAGTACGGTTGCTACACCATCACAGGAAGCTGAATTAGATGGACTTCACTGGCAGAAATAACAGCTATTTGTAGAGCTTTGCAGGGATACTAGAGAACACTGTAATTGCAGATGTACTCCCAATTGCGTATTGTTTTGATGGGAGGTCATACTTATACTTTCATTGTTAGGGTTTAAATACACTTTAACATAGTATTGTTTCAAATACCAGTTTCTTTGCAGGTGGAAAATGCAAATAGTAACAAGTTGAATTCACATATTCAGTTACGTTGTTCCTCAACAGACTGGAGTCTTGTTATTGCCACAACACTACCACTTTAAAAATGATATAATTAAAAGCTTTCGGTTTGACGAGATTTGCCCTTTTCTTTTAGCTTACTTTACCAAAGAAGTAATAAGTCATATAAGCTCCTTGTGCTGGTGCTTCCTTTCACACTCCAGGCCTGCAAGAGATGAATATCAGGTACTCACATTGTATTAAAAGAAAAAAAAAACCCTGTAATGGTGTATTAATGATTACAGAGCTGCATTATTTGGGTCTTTTTACATTTGCCCAGAATCCACCTTTACTGGCTATAACTAACATTTTTTTATTTGTTCAGACTAACACTTTAACCCCTTCACACCTAAGGGTAAAAACAAATCTAAATGCCTAAGCACAATTTTGCAACGTTGACATGTGTTAGTAAAACCGTACATATCATCACAACTACTTTGTACATCCAGGTGAATTATACCTTGTTTTTTCAGGACAAATTGGGCTTTCATTTGGTGGTAAATGGTAATGGATATCTCCTGATTTTTTTTTATTAGCAAAGGAAAACTGGCCCAAAATAGTAAAAAAAAAAAACATTTTTTTATTTAGCTGTGTGTTTCTTGTTACTACCATAACCTACCACCAAAGAACAACCAAAATAAATTCTCCCGCTCTTGATGATTGCAGCGATACCATATATGTGTATGTTATTTGTTGTTTGTACCCGTAGTACAGCTCAGAAACAACAGTGCGTATTTTGTTTTTGTTTTTTTTTTTTTAACCTAAAACACACTGACATTGACACTAACTGACACTGATACCAATTTTTTTTTTAATCCTGACCTTTGACCCAACACAAACACTAACCCTGGCAATGAACTAGATCAAACCTTGATCTAGGTATTTTTTCTTTATTATTTATTTATTTTTTACAAACATTTTTTTCCCCTGTATGTCAGGAGTTAGAGAGATGCAATGTATCTCTCTCCTTCATTCATAGAGAGAGAACAAAACAAGGGGGGACGGGCTGTACAATGACTGATCACTGTGATAGGGATAGGGACTGATGTGAATGTACAATATATATGTGAAGCGCTGCGTAAATTGATGGCGCTGTATACAAGTACCTGTAATAAACAATAATAAATAAATAATAGCCAATCAGAGGCTATCACAGCATTCATGTGACCCGGAATCAGGAATCCCGAGTCCCGATCGTTAGAACGGGACCCGGGGCTCTCAGTGACACCGCAGTCTTTGTGCTGGGAGCACGCCACGCTGCATGCTCCCAGCACAAAGACAGGTATGCAAATATGTGGCCCCACGGAAAAAACCCGGTGCTGTGAGGCCTCATTTGTGTTACGTCGGCATTAAGGGGTTAAATAGTAGTTGGAACTATAAAACGGGAAATACTGAGGCACTTGATACCTACATGCAATATTTAAAGCCCATCTTCAGCCAAAGCATTTTGTTTTGGTTTGGTTGCAGTTGTTTTTCTGTGCCATCCGAGTTAGGAAGATCTACTCTCACTCTCAGGACAGGAAATACTGGTAAATCTCTCCAACTGGGACAATCAAAACAAAATAGGTTACTAGTAGCATAGGAAAGAGTTAAAATGTTGACAATTTCATTTATTATAGGTACTTTTTATAGCACTGTAAATTTATGGAGCACTTTACATATATACAGTATATTGTACATTCATATCAGTACTTGCCCTCAAGAAGCTTACAATCTAAGATCCCTAACTTACATTCCTACTATGGCCAATTTAGACAGGAGTCATTTAACCTACTAACATGTCTTTGGAAGAAACCTACACAGGCACAGGGAGAACATGCAAACTCCAGGCAGGTAGCGTTGTGGTCAGGATTTCAACCGACAACCCTAGAACTGCTTGGCAGAAGTGCTAACCACTTAGCCACCATGCTGCCCAATGTTTTAATTCTCTTGCCTTCCTGTCTTGGTGACAATAACACAGAGAAGGAGGGTAAATCTCACAAATAGGGTCACAGACAGAAATAAACAGCTGGCAGAAATTATAGTTTTTCCAGCGCCATCCAAAACTAAAGAATAAAAATGGTGGTATAAGCAGGTGCAGTTATCTAGTCTGCCACTAGGTGACTGCCCCAGAATAGTATGTGGTGACAGAGAATAGTGTAGTTAGGTTCTAGGTCCTGTTTAGTTAGTCCTCCTGTAGTGATGCCATGGGTGAGTCAGTGTCCATATATAAGCCAGGTTGGGAGGATCCTTAGTGCAGTTGGGGCATGGGACCCAGCTACCTAACATTGAGGAGATGTAGTATGTATAGCCTTAGACCTTAGACAAGGCTGTAGGACAGAGTGAGGTAGTCCTGCACTCAGAAGAGCCAGCTGTAGTCTTCCTGTCTCTTATGGTGGTAGAGGCTAGAGTGGGTTGCAAAAGGCCTTTCAGCCAAGCCAAGCGTTCTCTGAAGTGGGTGTATCCCCCTGGAGAACCTAAGAGAAGTGTACTTGAGCTTGAGGTGCAGGGGTAGTGAGCCTGTCTGTGGAACAACAAGCAGAGAGTAATGAATTGGACACAGATAGCCTAAGCCAAGCCAGAGCACTCTGAGTGAGAACTAATGACCCTGGAAAGTAAAGAGAGAAGGTGGCTGAAGGCAAAAGTGTTGTATGCTGCCTTCACATGTGACTGCTGTGGAACGTCCGCGATATGTGATTGACAAAGTACTGTCAAGTGACCTCAGATAGTATGTCTATGTGATGTTAAATATATAAAAAGAGAAAGTTGCCATCATACTATGATATAGTCTAGTGACCTTGTGATATCTCTGTCTCACTACTTATAGAGTGTGGATTTTAAACCCATAAAAGCTTATGAAAACAAAATGGCAGTTGACTATGTCCTTTTCCATCTTTATAAAGTTCCATTACCTTGTTACGCAAGCGTTTGACAGTTCTTTTCTGATCCCCATGGCTCAGTACCTAGCCTAGTCAGTGCTGCAACAGCGTATACTGCAGAATGAAATGAAAACGAGAAGCGCACCAACCTTGCGCATTACCTCAGTAACCAAATGTATTAATTGTAAAAAATATACTCACAAACAGCGAATGATCGGGCTTCCCCAGCCTTGTTTTGGAGCCGCACAGCCCTTTATGCATTGGTGGATGATTTCTCCAGGCCTGGTTCCATCTATTCGCCACCTGTCTGAGTCCTAGAGCGCAGGAGAATTCGTCTTTGATTTACTGTAACAGCGTATACCCAGAGAGGGACGTGGATCAACCATTTTGGCTTCAACCTCCATCTTG